CTACTGATAGATCTGTCCAGCAGCGCCCGGTTGATTCCAATAGGTTCAAAGGACTGAAAATCCTCATGTCAGGTGTTTCAAATCCACTTCTACGCAGGCAGCAGCCGCAGCATCAACCTCTTAGACTTAAACCACAGTTCCTTTCCCAGCTATTTTTTCAGAGGCGCGCCGTGTAACGCTCTGGCCTGAAACTGAACGGAGGGCGGCCGCCGCTAAATAGAATCGGCGGCCAGTCTTGATTTTCAGGCCGGCGTGCAGTTCCTGAGGCTGACATACGGGAAAGGTACTGGTGGTTTAAACTTTAAACCACCAGTTCACAGGAGCCTAAGTAGTGCTCCGAGCAGTTTAGACAGTAAGAGCATTTCAATTCGTGCCTACGCTGGTAGCAAAAGCGGCAGGCCAGTTTGAAAAGCAGCTGTTGCAGGCTCGAGACTCGAGAGCCTTGGAACGTGGAAGTTTGCTTCGTCAACGTCAAGTTAGGCTCGTGTGAACTGGTGAGTCAATGCCGTTGACTTTTGAATCCATGTAGCAGATCAGTCAAAGGAAATGGGAAAAGTTATAAAGGGAAAAGTTATAAAACCTCCCCGTGACGAAACCTTTGCATTCATTTTTGCACCCTGGCTGGGCGGATAAAGGCCACTGTGCAAAAATGGGGCGGGAAAGTGTTTTACAGGGTGCAAAAGTGGTGCCAAAAGTCATTTTGGAGCCTGCAGCACTTTTTGGCCCGTTGGGTGGAAAATAAATACTAAGTTGGGAAAAGTTATAAAACCTCCCCACGACGAAACCTTTGTAATCATTCTCCCCCGTAGTGCCCAGGCCCGGGGCAGGGTAATGTTTTTTTGCCATTTTCAAACTCAGCCCCTCCGCAGAAAACTTTTGGCGTCATGTTTGCACCCTGCAAAACACTTTCCTGGTATTTTTTCCAGCAGGCGTTGGCGGCCCAGCCAGGGTGCAAAAATAACAAGTGAAGTCATTTTTTGGGGGGGTGCTGCGAAAACTTTTTCCCCAGTTTGGGGGAAACAAATACAAAGGTTTCGGGGAGGTTTTATAACTTTTCTCTCGACTTAGGCTCGTATGAACGGGTAGGTCCACTTCTGCAGATTGAATCCATGTAGCGGAGCGCTGCACATTGTGCACAAAAGTTCATTGATCCACCCTCCCATCCAACAAATGCCGTTCACAGTAGTTTGTCCACATCCATCCAGAAGAGCGGCACACAGCCGCAGATTGGATGCTGTCCTAGATTGATGAATTTGGACACTAGTTTGTCCGAATGCATCAATCTAGGACAACCGCGCACACCAGCGCCTGCTTTTTGCACACTTCAAATTTGAGTATACAGACACACTTGTAGTCGGAAATTGTGGGGTTATGCCGTTCCTACGCGAATATAAGCGCCTAACTATGGGCATCGCCACACCTCTCTCGAAATGTGAAAAAGACAAAAATGTGGCGGATGCATTTGGCCATGTTCTAGCGGGAAGTTCATTCTCATTTTGCACATTTCAAGAATGGTGTGGCGATGCCATATATGTGGACCAGCGGAGAGAAACGGGCGTGCTGATTGAAATATGACATGAAGTACATCCATCATCAATGTACAGATTCACCCAGCAGCTAGTTGTACATATTGTGCCTCGCTCCACTACTCTCGAAATGAAGTACATCCGGTAGAAGTTGGAAAGATGCACCCCCATATTTTTTGTCGTTTGTGCAGGTCGAGAGTAGTGGAGCGAGGCCCATTATCAGCTAGAAAGATGAAGTCAAACATTTTCTTAACGGCGGTCCGTCGGCGGACCACATGGCAACGACGACGGGAACTCTCTGCGGGGAACTGCAAATCCTTGCCGCAGCGAGCGCGCAACCGTAGATGACTGGAATCCTACCCCAGCGAGAGCACAGCCGTAGGCCGTTAGCGCGTCAGGTCATCAGCAGTCACATTCATCTCGTCTCGTTAGAGGAAGCAAAGAGGTACTAGGATAGTGCGTCGTTTTGAAGATCCTGGACCAGTCTTTGACGAATCTTCGGTACTTGATGGGTAGAAGGGGAGGTGGGGTCGTGGGGTACTAGAATGATCGCAAGTTTGAGAAAGAAGCTCGTTTGCGGAGTGAGCAGTGTCCGTTCTTCGGCAAGGCTTGGTGTGCGCGACCGAAGAAGGCATTTAGGGGGGAGGGGAAGGGGGTGACTTCAAGTCTTCGTGTATTCGCCAATTTGGCACATCAATACATGTTCCTATGATGATACGGTGATACCCATCGTTCTGGCGGAGATAGCGGAGAGTCAACTCTGTTGAGAAGAAGAGGCAGCAGCAGCGTCGGTAGGTTTATGCGAGTTGCTATGGCGTGAATGATCATCGAGACATAGCCGTGCTTGATGATTAGTAGATGTGAGAACTTGCGACATACGTATGACCAGGCAATTTGCGTCCTGATAACGTATTCACACACTGTGAGTTTGCTGACCGTATATGACCGCATTTGCCGCCAGATTCGGTAGAAACGCATCCAGGGCCTGGGCTTCTGTTAGAACGCACGCCTGGTCTTGGTTTCCTCTTTGTCCGTGTGTCGAATCGCTCGCCGKCATCCCTCAGTCCTTGTCGCTCTTCGTGCCGGGGTTCACCATCTCGCCCTACTGTTTTTTTTTTTTTTTTTGGTCTCGCCCTTTCTTATGCATATTGCTATGTTTGTCTGGATCCTTCCGTTGTCCCGCCATAGCCTCTCTCGTGGCTTGGCCGCCAGGAGAAAATTGTGAAACGAGTAGATAATAAATTGCGAATGAACAATAACCTGCTCAAGGTTCCTCGATTTGTTGGTTGACCCCAAGGATGAGCGAGACGCCGAGAGTGAAAGGTTCGCCTTACCAATATTGTTAGCGCGAAAATGAAGAAAAGAGAGGGGAATGGGGTGAGAAGGGAAGGAAGGAAGAAGAGAAAGGGTCGGGGAGAGCCGTGCTCGCTTCCGAGCGAGAGAGAGAGAGAGAGAGAGAGAGAGAGAGAGAGAGAGAGAGAGAGAGAGAGA